TCTCTCTCTCTCTCTCTCTCTCTCTCTCTCTCTCTCTCTCTCTCTCTTCGGGTTCCGACTGCGATTCTCTGCCGCCGATAAAGCCAGGCACTTTCGTCCAAAATCTCTATAAACTGCGTGGAAATAGCCTTCGTCTAAGAGCGAAAAGAATGCGACGGAGATGACCGCGCGCCGTCGTCTAGATGAGAGCAAGAGAAGAGCGGTTATCTCGCGTCCGAATGGACTGTATAACGCGCAATATATGGAGCGTATATACTTGTCCTTCTTGTGTGCTTATACGATATTCGCTAGCGCATCGTGGACCAGAATACGTACGCATGATAAGGAACGCCGACTTCAGCGGAAAGACGAGATGTCGCGAGCGCGATTACTCGTATAAGTTTTCGATTCAAGGTCGCTAGGGCATAGAGCATCTGGGCAAACAACGGCAGCAATCAAGAACCAACATTAAACGCGAATTTTTTGTGTCTTTGAAGTTTGTCATTAAAGTAGCTTATCTTCTGGAACTGGGATATTAATTGCGATATAATAATTGACAAATCGCAAAAATTTTGTTAACATTTAAGTCCATGCAGAAGTATAATTAGTAAACAAACGATACACAAGGATATAAATCTTTTTATCTACTATTGCGAAAACTAATAATCTTAACAAAAAACATGGCTAAAATATGTACCAATAATTTATGATCGCACTTACTTATATTTCACTAATGCTTTATTTTATTAACACTATACTAAGCCTCGCATAATTTATTATGCTGAAGAGCTCTAAACTTGCCACTGATAAAAGGAACTCTTATCGCATTTTTGGTTTGTGTGCATAATATCGCAACGCGTACAATGCGCTCGTGGAACGAGGACGGCATTCTTGCCGGCGATCAATTACATCTCGGTTTCGACAGATTGCAAATGGCCTTTCCGATACGGGGAACGCGGATACGAGCGTGCGATCGCTCGTCACAGGGAATTTGCGATGATGATTGGCGGCCAAGGAAAGGGACAGTTTGAATAATAAATCACGATCGTTAGGTAACTACAAGCACGGAAGCTTTAATTCTTAATGCGCGCGTGGAAAGAAAGGAACCAGGTTCGGCCTGAACGAACAATTTGTCTCGATCGCCGGGCTTCGAGTATGCGCTCGCTCAATGATTCGACATGCACTCGCATTTCGCGATCTGCATATGCGTCATTTCGTAACCATCGAGCGCACGGAGAGAAATAGGAAATCTGCGAAATTACATAGAAGTCGTGAAATAGAGAGCTATAAAAATAGATTTTTCCATAACATATTTCTATTACACAATTTTGCTTTTAAAAATATAAGAGCGCAAGTTAGAAAATAAAAATTTATATAACATAATAAGAAAAAAGTATTGTATATTCATGTATTAGATAATAATATGTATAAAATATATCAACACGCATGATACTAATACATTTACGTTATAATTTATATGTTTTATATGCACAACAGAAAAAAATTTTCGAATAATGTGACGAATAAATCCAAATTAAGATCCAAATACTAATAATATAGCACAATTAACTTTTACTAGAAAAATGATAAATGTCTGCAATGATTCCATAAACATATTTATCTCTAACTGCTTACATCTTCGTCTGTTTAACAACGTATTATGCGAATTATCTCATATAGCAACGTAATGGAGTTTTTAATCCGTGCATGACGGGAAATGATTACAGATAGCGAACGTTTGTAAATAACCGCACAATCGCGGAAGGAAACAAAGTCCTACATCAATTTTTACGGACGTGGTTTTTATCTTGTCATGATGTATTTTACGCTTCTGTAAGTCTTTCTTATCAGAAGGACGTGGGACCAAAGTTGCGGTTTGCGAGCAGGCCAAGACCGCGCGTGTATCTTATACAATAATTTTCATCGCGCAATAAAGGAACCTCGTAATCAGACTCAGAGATAACAATAATACATTCTAACTTCACCGGAGAATAAACATGAAGCAGAATGTGTCGTTCGATATCTCTGGCTTTAAATGATATTAATCTTAAAAACAAGAATAAAATTATTAGCAGGATTCTGCCAATCAATTGGATATGTGAGAGAATAATTTAACAAGATATTTAAGATTTAGGTATTTAACAGTTAATCACACACATATGATGTTTTTATGCATTTAAGTATATCAAATACTGATTAATTTAATTATACATATTTTAACTTTTCTCTTGCAAATAGACATAATAAATTTTATTGAATAGAGGTACTTTTCCTAAAATTAAACAAAAGCATTTCTTTAGCAAAGCAATAGAGATTTCTCTTTGATCTCCGTCCTTATAGTAGGTACGGTGAACTCGAGTTCTGAACTTGCCTCAACATAATTTAATAAACGAATTGCAATGGAAATTTGAAATCTGTCGCTTCTTTATTAAGATAATCATAATAT